CAAGAATCATCGATTGTCCAAACAGGTCATAGGTCACGAGTATGACCTGTGTTGCGGCTGTGGTTGTTGGGTGGGGATCCTACACACCACAGAATGAACCACTGCACGGTGCTGCACCATTCTCACAATTGTTCCCAGGCCTGAGCCCGTGGATGCAGCCACTGTGTCAATCCATGTCCTTGAGGGCCTAACTCTTTTCCGCTGCCCTCCACTTTACCAGGCACGATGTCCTCCTGGCACTCTCTCCTACCATATGTCCAAAAGCTAGCAGATGAAGTCTTGCCAGACTTGCCTCTAAGGCTCACTCTGTCCTTTTAGCAGTCCCTGCTATTTTCCATAGTCTTCTCCAGCACTACAATTCACATGCATCAATTCTTCAGTCTTCCTTACTCAATGTCCAACTTCCACATGCCTACGAGGCACTTGAAAATACCATGACTTGGGTCCGGCACACCTTAGTTCTCAAAGTGACATCCTTTCTCTTCAATACTCTTATGCAGAGGTTGTATGCAGCAAAAACTTTAGAAAGTCAGTTATCTCTTGCTACAGACAATATACAGCCTTTTTTTGTACCTAGCTTCTTTCGTTGAATTTACACCTTGTCATTGGGGTGCCTCCAACTCACAGTGACCGTATGGGACAGAGTAGAGCTGGCCTGTAGGATGTTCAAGGCTGTTTATCTATGGAAGCAGACTATCACATCTTTCTCTCATGGAGTAGCTGGCAGATTTCAACTGCCAACCTTTCAGTTATGAGCCAAATGCGGTCGCCATCACCAAGTGCCTTTACTGATGCAAGTAGAACAAAATATATTAGGATTGACACACATGCCACCTTGACTAGCCAACAACTGCAAATCTAGAGCAATTCAATTATGCATCACTACTTGTTTCGATGGTGGAATTAATTTGTACTCCATCTAGGGGAGAGATGGTATCAAATAATCATTCTATGAGTTATTGGTGCATTTCTTAAAGTCCTTTTTATTTGTATGATTCTTATCATCAGTAATTCTGTCCTAATGGTTCCATTTATATAAACAATGAAACAGTAATGCCTCTAAGTAGAGTACTTGAGTAATTAGAGTTGGTCTCCTATTAAGGCCTTAAGTCTGCTTTGTAATTATCACCTCCGATGTCTTATAAAAGTTGGGCTTCTGTGTAGACATATATTCTTAAGTACTAGTCCGAACACATATGTGCTCTTAGTCTGAGGCCAACATGACAAGCAAAGGATTAATAGCTACTAGAAACAAATTGAGGTGCAAAAATAAAGGAATTATTCATGGAATTAGATTGGAATCAATATGTTATTTTAGGTTTGATACATATTAGTGTGTAAGACATTCTATTAATCCTTTCTAGGTCATCCACCATTTATAAATTTGTTGAATTGACATTTGGAACTACCTAGGGTGTGATTAATAGACTTCAATTGTGTGTGTGTGCCTATGTGTGTGTAAAGTGGACAACGGGAAGGAGAGAGAGAGGAATGGGGAGGAAGAGATACTAGCAGGTTTCCCGGTTGATTAATTGAAGATCATTTGTGCAATGGGATAGACCCAAGAGAAAATGCCACTACCTGCAATTTCTGTGATTTTGTTTGATAAGGCTAGAATTGCACAGACTTTTCATCATGAGGATTAATGCTGGGTGGTTCATACAACAGTCAGTATACTTGAGGACTGCTGCTTGGCCTTATCTGAGATTAGTGTTAGAACAATTATATTGTGACCTAACCATTGTAACCAGGTGAGAATAATGGAGAAACAAAGACCATACTAAGGGTTCCAGGAAGAAAATGAGAAGAATACTGTTAAGTCAGCAAATGAAGAAAGAAGAATTAGACAGTGGCTTTGGTCTGATGTCTTGAATGGCAGTTGTCCATGATCTGAAATCAGCTCATTTATAGGTTGTTTGAGAATACTCAGAATGGAGTTGTACTTACACTATTCCTCCTGGGGAAATGTGCTGAAGAAGCTCTTTAGGAAGGTCACAGTACACTGCTTGTGATAGTTTTATATGCACCACAGAAAAGTCTTATATCAAAAATAACATAGCTAAGTCCAAGGATTTTTCTGATTAAACCCCATAAGGGCTGCTGAGGTGCTTAAGTGTTTCTGCGAGTTTTGCTAATATATACATACACACAGAGACAATGTAGTAACATTTTCCATTATTTGTATATTTTACAATAAAAAGCTCTGTTGATTAGATTGAGATTTGTTTTCTCTACCTTTTGGGTCTTAAAATGTCTATTATTTTAAAAAAGAATGTCAATTGTATGTGATACATATTTTTGTTTCTGTTTTTTCAAGAGTTGGCATAAAATTCACATATCATACAATTCAATATTCAGTCATATCAAGAAGAGGTGTACAATCATCACCACAGTTTTAGAACATTTTCTTCAATCTTGTATTCATTAATGTTAGCTCCCCATTCCCCCTCCCCCTCCCCCCTTGCCCAATATCCCTGCCATACTACCAATGAACCATTAATCCAGTTACTGGCTCTATAGATTTACTATCCTGGATTTCCTATATAGAAAAACATTTAAGAAGAAAGAAACAAACAAGTAAAAACTAATAAGAATAACAAAATGAAACATTGAAAACCTCAATCAAAAAGAAACCAGAAAATATTAAAAATTAGAACAAATTAAAATGCATCCTAAGGGCAATCAAATGAGAGGAAGCTAAATTTTAACCTAACTGCAACTGTAACAATACATTTTTCAATGTATTGTGTTTGTTAGCAAGGCTATTCACATCTCTAGTCCATTGTCAAAGAGGATTCACGGGAGCTTTACCCACATGTACTCCCCTCCTTTTTTAAAATGAACCAGCTTTAAAATGAATCCAAAGGGAGATTAAATGAAAATATATAACATTATGGCCAAACTACATTTGCCATCATTGACTTTACAATGCTCTCTGTTGATAACAGACCTATTCTCATCCCTCAACGAAGAGAAAGATTCATGCTTTCAAGCTTTCCGGTAGATCAAGGGTGGTGATAGTGTAGTGACTGAGTAAGAGGTGCTTTCTGCTGCACCTAGTTTTACTTTGTTTATTAAAAATAATGTTTCTTATAAAGTGCGTGTCTTGGTCACTTAATATAAAAGTTTGTACTCCCAAGGTTGGAAACACAAAATCAAACAATTTTTGTGATTAGTAGAGCTGTAGATTTTGCCAAGGAAAGGCTTTTACCATCCTGGAAAATAGACATTCAATCATTAAGCTGTAGTCAAATACCAGAAAGAATTGAAGCTATATAAAAGCCATCTGTAATTATTCAGTGAACCCTTGAAGCTTTGGTTCCGTGCCACGTCTGACCTCTAGTGGTTCAGAACCCTGATGCTGACAGGTGACACGTAACTGGAAAATGACCTCAACTATCTTTTAAAATCATTTTGTACATGTGGATTTACGATAGAAACCCATTTATCGATATCCTGATGAGTCATTTCATGGTGAAACTTAGCTAAAATGTGTTTAATAATATTTTATTGAAAGCATCTGGTATCACTAAAAAGCTCTGTTGGTCACACCAACGATGGTATGAGTTAAGGTCAGAACCATATCTATCTGCATAGCTGTCTTTTTAATCAAGGAATAAATGTTGATATTTTAATACTTTTTGAGAAGCACTCCAGGATTTCTCTTCAACGATTTAGTTAGGATCACAAGCTTGGTTCAGGAGGCTTCTGTGGCATGTCAGTGTGCTAAAGCATTTCCCTTCACTCGTGAATGACTTCATTTTCCGTAGGACCTCAACCTTCATAAGCCCTACTTCTTTATAGAGTCGAAATGTATCTAGAAGTGTCTTAAGTCTTGTCCAATTTTAATTGAGTTACAGCAGAATTAAGCAATACCTCTGTAAAGGAACCCTGTTCGTATAGCAGGTTGCGGTTTGGCTGCTAACTGCAAAGTCAGTGATTTGAATCCACCACCCACTCTGCAGGAGAAAGATGAGGTTTCCTGGTGCAGAAAAGATGTATAGCTTCTTTTCTGTGTATGTGTATTCTACATATACATAGAAATGCCAGAAGAGGCAATTCTACTCTATCCTGTTGCAGCGGGGTTGCCTCTAAAGCATCTCAAAAATCACATATAATCTATAATATGCACACATGCACACACATATGTAAATATAATATATTTACATTATATATATTGTAATTGCTCTGCCACATAGGCTGATATTACCTCAGAAAAAAGACGATATTCTGAAGGCAAGCTTAAATTAGTGGTAGCATATTCTTTTTATTTTTTTATTAAAAGATTATTTTATTGGGGGCTCTTATAACAATCCATCCATCATTCATATCAAGCATATTTGTACATATGTTGCCATCATTATTGTTGAAACATTTACTTTCTATTAAGCCTTTGGCATCAACTCCTCTTTTTTCCCTCCCTTCCCCCCACCCTTGTGACCCTTGATAAATTATAAATTATTATTACTTTCATATCTTACACCGACCACTGTCTGCCTTTCCGCATGGTTTCTGTTGTGTGTCTCCCTTGGGAGGTGGGGTGGTTATGTGTCCATTGGTTACCACTTCCTCCCCTCCTCTCCCCACCTTCTCCCTACCCTGCTGGTATCGTGACTCCAATTCCTGTTCCTGGATTCTGTGTGTAGTGAGCTCTTATCTCTGATCTGTAACTGTGCACGATCAACATATTCTTGATAACACCCAGTTTCAAGTGTTAAAGTATGATCAGAGTTTTCTTGTCTTACCTATTTATTTTCCATTTGTATTGGCAGTCTCTCACAATTTTGCCACTTGAAAATCATCTCATATCACTTGTCTTCACGTACATCTAAAAAATGATTTGGACAATATTTGATACATAAGGTGAGAACTTTTGCAAAGGGTAGAAATATAAAATATTGGATTTTGTAACAAACTACTTGGAGATACTTCAACATGTAGGCTTTAACACCTTTTGCTAGAGTTCATCTGTTTCTCTGCAATGGTTTATGTTGTTCCAGAGGATCTTGATGACTTAAGAATGGAAGGAGTAACTACTCTGGTGCCTTCTGGGACTAAATTTAACCAAGGTCGTGTTCCTCACCCCGCTGAACCTCAGGCCAAGGTCACCCTGAACATCTGCTCAAGGTGTGCCAGGTAAAACAATAGTATGTATAAAATCTGCCATGTTATTTTGATTGTTGGGATCAGTGATTTGTCAGCTGTGTGTTCTCTGTATTAAAGAAAGCTTTTTCTTCTAGTTATTTTTTTGCACCAAGGTAGGCCAGGGTGTTAGTTGTGCATTTTGTCCTAGTGCCTAATGCCACTCAGTCCAACAATGAATCAAAGAGTTTTGCTTGTCTTCACTTCACAGCTTGAGACTATTTGAAGCCTTTCTGTCTCTGAATGTCATTAGCTGTCTGCCCTTCTGTTCCCATTCAAAGGAAGAAGCCAGCGGCTTTAAAAGTTCAAAGCCACTTTTTAAACACCTGCATAAAGGAAGAGTTTGCCCAGGTACAGTTTAAGATCTGATGTGATTGGCCTCTTAACCTGACCCTCATCCTGTTCCCCTCCTGGAAAGAATGTAATCAGCTTGATGCTTTTCAGTTTGGGCAGCTGGAAGCAATCTTTGCATATACTGTATATTATATAGCCAAAGAAGTAGCTTCAGAGTTACCGCCAAATCCCAGTGCTGGCCCAGCAGAAACCAGCCAAAGAGCCTACAATTCATTCTTTTGTAGGAATTAAATCTCATTTGCAAAGAGGCTTTTAAGCCTGTTTAAATGATAAAACAAGTCTTCTAACCCTTGTGTAAATGGCAAAGATTACCAAGAACAATATACTGGCTGGCCAGTTTTATCTCCTTTCCCTTATGTCTAGCTGTTCTATTGTACTGTTTGAGAGGGGGATTAGCTGCTTGGGAATGGGAGTGGGGGAGTGGAGGAAATGTAAGAAAATAAAATTAGTTTATGTAGCTTTCCCTTTTTCTGTACCCTGTTGGAATTTTTTTTAATTGTCTCGGCCTAGAACAATAGTACGCTTTTTAGAAAACCAAAATATATTAAGAAGCCATTAAGATAAATGCCATTCCACAGGGATACACCAGTGGAACGGTTACTTCATGCAATGTGACACAGCAACATGGGTGTGAGTGGATTTTTGATTCTGGCTGGCTGTGAAGAAGACTTCTAATATTTATGTGATAAAATACAAATACCAAAGGAGCCCTGGTGGCACAGTTGCATTAGCAGCAGACTGCTAACCAGAAAGAGCGGCAGTGGATCAGGCTGCTAACTGGACGGTCAGCAGTTTGAAACCACCAGCCGGTCCACAGGAGAAAAAGAGGCCTTTCTACTTGCATTAAGAGTTGTACATTTCTACCTGTTGTGATTGCAATACACAATGATATATGGTATGTATTAAATCCCAATTAATAAGAAAAAACTGTTACCGTCTCAGAAAGCCACAGTCCTCTGGGGTCTCTATGCGTCAGCATTGACTAGATGAGGTGCACTGAGTAACAGCCACTCCTCAGAAGAAACAGGAGACTTTCTGCTCTCACAGAGCCTCGGAAGCCCTATAAATGATCAACATGGGTGGAATCCATTTGATGCCGGTAGATTGTTTCGCTTTTTGTTCGTTTATAGATAGGTACCCTAAGTACACAAAATCATCAGAGGAAGATTTAGTTGGTTCTTTTCCATTTAATGCACAGCTCTCATTCCCATTGCTGTGTGGGGTGAAGTGGATTCCAGCTCAGAGCAGTGTGGAGGAGAGAGTTGAACTCCGACCTGGTGGCGCTGCGGTTATCCACTGAACTGCCAGCCACAGCTATCAGCTGCTCGACTGAAGAAAGACGTGGCTCGCTGTTCCTATCAGGATTTTAGTCTTAAAAACCCTACCTAGGACCAGTGTGAGTTATGTATGAGGCCTTAAATTCTGAGGACCCTTATTTGAAAAAGGGTTTAGATAGCGCTGACAGCCTGTGTTAGTCTAGGGAAACAAATTCACAGAAACTCATATGTATATAAGAGAGAGTTTTATGTAAAGGGTAAGTGTACATTGAGAAAGCATCCCAACCCAGTGCTGTCCAAGCCCACAAGTCCAACATTAGCCCATTTGCCCAACACCGATCTACAAAGCCTTCCTCAGTCTCACAAAACACACACTATGTTGCTGAATGCAGGAGGAAAGCCAAATCAGTGGATATGTAAGAATCTCAGCGCTGGCAGGGTTCTCCACAGGGCTGTTCCAGCACCCAGGGCTGCATCGGGGTAGGTCCATGTGGCTTCTTCTCAGGAATGTCTTCCAGGAAGTTAGCCTTGCCAGCTAAAGAAGGGAACTGGCTAAGGCAGCTGCACCCTGGTCCGACCATCAGAGAGCAAGAGACCCAAGAACTTGAAAGGCAAGGCTCACCGAGCCATTTATCTCTCCGCGCTTCAATTGATATCACATGTATTTATCAGTCAGCTTGGCACAATAAACCTTAACTATCTCACAGTCCCCAATCCATTTGCAGCATCCCCATATAGATTGAGCCTCTATTAATGCGTTCTGATCATATAACTAAAGGTGTAGATACTCTTGTCCTCAGCCAGAATGCCTTGGAGAGTAGATTGCCTCCACAGCTCCCTGGCCAGCCCAGGGAGGGGCTGGCTTTTGCTTAGGGCAGCGGTTCTCAACCTGTGGGTCACGACCCCTTTGGGGGGTGGAGTGACCCTTTAATAGGGGTTGTCCGATTCATAACAGTAGCAACATTACAGTTCTGAAGTAGGAACAAAATAATTTTATGGTTGGAGGTCACCACAATATGAAGTGTATTAAAGGGTCACGGCATTAGGAAGGTTGAGAACCACTGTCTTGGGGGCTTGCACAGGTGTGTCTTGGATGGAGCTCACCATGCTGGCATGGTTGGGGGAGTGGAGGTTGCACAGTAATGACCATGCCCTATCAATCTCACCCCGACTTCCTTGGTTGGAAGACCCTGGACCAATCTTGTAACCCCATTTATCTACCATTATATAGGTCCTAAACATGGTCTCCTGTAACTGTGATGTATGGATCTGCCACCAGTCATGCTTTGGGGACAGTTTTCTTTGCCCACCCATGCCTTTTTTAAAGCTTGGTGTCTCGAGGAATCCTTGGCTGCCATTTCAAATTGTGTCGGTGACCTGCTTCCCTCCTCCGGATGATGTGTCAGTGTGTTTGTATTGTCTTTGAGTCTTTTAGGACTTAATTTCTCTTTAAATTATATTTGAAATAGGTTTCTTTTTGTACCCTAAAACAGTTGGAGTCCATTAGATAGCAGTGGGTTTGTGTTTGTCGATTAATTCCACAGGAGTGTATTGTCAGCTCTTCCATTCCTAGGAATGGCTGGTGGTATGGAAAAGTAAGCAGTCCAAGGCTTAACCACTTTGCTCCCAAGACTCCTTAGTTTTATGGTTAATGTGTTAATATATAAACTCATTTAAAACTATATATATATATATAATTTATAGTGCACTTATAATTTTTTTTCTGTGGTTCTTGATCTTTCAAGTCCTTTTAAAATATTGGGATATGGGATGCCTTTTTCACAGAGGAAAAGATAGCAGGTTTTACTAAAATAATGAGATTCTTAATTGGGAAAGAACCACACACATATATAACCCTACATTACCAGCCAGCCATCTCCCTACTGATAGTGTTAGTTTATAAATTAGACAAACCACAGTCAAGGTTAGCTCTTACTGTATTTATTCAAGAAATGATCAGCCAAATCACACCAGGCTACATTGATTGTTTTCTCACTATCAAGTCTCTGAAGCACATTAAATGTATAAAATTTAATTCTCAAGAAATTATGGAAACTAGTTACTCTTATGTTGGGATGATGTTAGTTGCCTGCTGTCCGGTCTGTTCTGACTCATGACGATCCTATGTGTACAGAGTAGAAATCTCTGACACTGCTTTTGAAGAAGCAGATCACCAGGCTTGCCTTATGAAGTACCTCTGGGTGGTTCGAGCCACCAATTATTGGTCCAGGTAGTTAACTGCTCTATTATCTGTGCCACCTAAGGAACCCAATTACTAGTAGAAGTCCCATTTTATAAATAAGTAAACTGTGGCAAAGGTTAGCTAAGTAACTTGTCCAAGGCAATACAACCAGGAGAGACGGTAGAACACACACTCAAATGCAGCCAGCATGTCTTCACAGCCTGCCAGTTTGATAAGTACCGATCTCTTACCCAAGGCAAAGATTAAATCCTCCCTGAAATAAGATTCACTCAAAACAAAACAAAACAAAAACCTCAGTCATTCTGACTCCTCACGTTGATTCTTACTCACGGCGACTCTAGAGGACATGGCAGAACGTCCCTGTGGGTTTCCCAAACAGTAACTCCATGAGAGTAGAAAGCTTCCTTTCTCCCTCGGAGAAGCTAGTGGTTATTTGAACTGCTGACTTTGTGGCTAGCAGCCTGCTAGCCCAATACATGACCATTATCCCAAGAGGGCTCCTTGAAATAAGATAGAAACCATGTAATAGAAAGTGAGTAGGTGTTAGAAATAATAGAAGTGCAAGATTGGTGTAGTTTCAAAGCATGCTGAAGATAAGGTGATGCAGGTAAGCAAACTTTATGGAAAAAGACGGCCGCCTGCCTGTATTAGAGTGATGACTGTAGCCAGGGATTCTGGCTGGGTAGGGGGTTGTGAGCTTGTGCTGCTAACCAGAGGTCAGCAATTCTACTCCTATAAACAGTTAAAGTCTCATCAGAAACTCACAGGGGCAGTTCTACCCTGTCTGATAGGGTCATTATGAATCAGAAGTTACTTCATGGCAGCGAGTTTGCTTTGAGATTTTGGACTATCCGGAGTTCAGAGTAAAGGAAAAAGGCTATACCACTTGTATGCTCTGAAGGAAAACTTAATTTATCTTTCCAAATATAACATTCTTCAACAGACTAGAACAAAGACAGTAAGACATGCAGAAACATGAGAGGCCTGTGGGTCTTTATTCTCCACCCTAATTACGGTAATTACTTTTGTACTGCGTTGATGTGGTTGTACAAGGTTTTTACATAATTATTTTTCAAACACAATTAATGTAGCTGTCGCTTATCTCTTTCCTAGGCACAAGTAATACATTTAAGATTGTAGAAACTAGATTTCAAACAATG